TGGAAGGAGGTAATAACACAAAGAATGCGAAAGTATGTAATGTAGGGGGTCCCAATCTGTCAATTAAAAGCATACACGTTTCTTTTAATTAAATTGAGAACACAAAATCAGTAGATCATAATTGAAAGTAGATTTTAAAGTATAACTTGCAAGGGGGGTCTTGAATCTTGATTATTAATACTTTTCAACTTTCTCATGGGAAAGTGTAACGGTCATTCCTTTATGGGTAATACGATCCGTATAAAAAATTATACAAATTTTTTTTTTTTGTATAAAATAACGTGACAAGAGATGAATAAAAAATAAATATAATGAGTTTGACTTTTTGTACTCATTTTTTTATTTATATTTTGTTATCTCACTTTGTATAATTTTTTTGTACGTCTGACATTATTGTTCTTTTAAATAGTTGATAAGGACTCACTTCTTTATCATTTATATACACTTGTTAATTGTTATCATAACAAAATTAAACATTCTTTTATTTTTTGAGAAAATTCCCTGGTCAACATTATAATTATATTTATTATTGTCTATGTCTAAGATATCTATTATATGATAATGAAGTTAAATTAATAATAAATACGTGTACTTTTCACAGTCTTTACTTCAAAATTAGCCGAAGTAAACATGAGCCAAATGTTTTAAATAGTAATCCTAGAAGCCCGAACGATATTAACATATACTGTATATACAATTTCGTTAACAAAGTAACGGAAATTGCAATGGGATTCTAAGTTTTGTGACGGATGGCTTTTACGGTGACAATAATATTAGATGTAAAAAGAAATCTTATAAAGATTTCTGTAAAAAGTGTAAGATTTATTTGTACATGTAGCATTACTCTTACGGTGGTTGACAATGACTTCTTTCTATTTTAAATATTTTGTTGAGTTTTATAATTTTTTATTTCAATACTGATATCAAGTGAATTTCTTGATAAAAAATAGTAACGGCAATTAGAATTAGTGGATGACATTGATAGTATATTATACTATTTGGGTTTGTAGGTTATTTGTTAATAAAAGGTGTGGGATGGGGGAGTCTGACTTATGAGTGGGCGTTTTCAAAAAAAGAGCAGTCAGTTCAATAATTGACGACTTTAAATAAAATAAATGCAGTCTGATGGATTACGTAATCGGAATAGACGTCAACGGCTCAACGTCTGATGCGTTTAACGCATCCACCAACTCCTCTGTTCAATTTTAACTTCAAAATTAGATAGGTAATTTAATTGTTTTTCATCCTATTTATACTTAAATTAACAGTCAGACAGAAGTAGACAAATCATAATTAAATTCTCAGCTGCAGATTAGTGAGTGACATTAAGTGGATATTTAAGGTTATTGTCAGAATTGATACATGTGAAAAACATATATATATATATATATATATATATAACAAAAGAAAGACTAAAAGAAGACCCACAAAGAAAAGGCCGCCGACAAGAAGTTCTGAGAAGGACATAAGCGTGGCTGGTGAGGAGTGAGGACACGTGGTAAACAATCGGCCAACCACAATTGAATTCTCAATTCTCATGCATTTTGCAGAGTTAATGGGTCCTACCTTCTTAGCAATTACAGCTGCCATACTGACTTTGGTAGTTGCTGATTTAAAAACCTGTCTCTCTTTACTGTAACATCTCTATTTTACCCTTCTCTTTTTCTTTTTCTTTTTCTTTTTCTTTTTCTTTCTTTGTTTTTTGTTTTAATTATAAATTATTTATGTTGCACTTGCTTCTGAATTATAATTTTCAAATTTGGGGCCTACCAACTCCAATTCCAAACAATATATATGTATACTTCTTAATTACTTCGACCCCAAACAATAATTACAGTCACAACCCCACTTTTCCCTGACTTCTCACGCGCCAATTGAGTTTGGATTTGTTTGTAATAATTAAATGATTATTGATAGACATAAGAATGTAGATAGGGATTAGATAATTGTGGGTTGGGTGATGCATGGTTTTTTGTAAATGCGATAGCGATAGTGATGGACCACCATTTGTAGTTGACAAATAAGTCAAGAAATTGAGCTCAGATTTGAGTCATGAAAATTCCTTTATACCATACATGTGTAAAGTATTTTTATTATTATTAAATTTATCACCCAACAAGCTTGATGGAGATGGATCTTCTTTCACTGCATCGCCCACCACAGGATTCATTATCTCCATCTATTTCCATTTGGAGCATCCATAAGCCTCATGATCATTAGATTTGCAACCTAAAACTAGCTACCAATATTATTTAAATCTAACTTAAAAAAAAAAAAAAAAAAAAAAAACAAAACGTTTCTGCAAATTGTTTGAAATTCGATCTTTGATTGGTAAACCTTTCTCATTATTTGATTTTGACATTTGGTCGAATTGAGTATTGTTGTTACGATATTTTGCACCAATGAGAAGCACGTGAGCCTTCTGGGAGAATTTGTGCAAAGAGTCTGCATGAGACCATGAAAGATAATGTTGAACCCGCAAAAGATATTGAAAATGCGTGAAAAGTAAACAAAAGAGTAGATACAAATAGTTTTTAAAGTGGTTCGAATGCAAAACGCAAATCATATGACCACTATTATCTTATTGATGTGTTTACAAGAGATGTTTGCTCAAAAGAGAGATAACTGCTCTAAAGCGATTGAGAAGAGAAAGACTAGATATCTGGTTTGGGGTGGGAGACCCCTATTTATAGTTTTGCATGGGTGATCTTGTTCAAGAAGTAACCTTCTGGTCATATGCCACATGTTCCGGCGGTCTGTCCTAATTGGAGACTTAATGGTGAAGCAATCCTCTTATAAGGTGCCACACAACCTGTATGGTGATTCAACAAGTGAATCTTATTATTGAAGCAATCGTGCAAAGCAAGCCACTGTGAATCTTACTGTTGAAGCAATCTATGACACTCTTATTAGGAAAACCATCATTTCATGGTACAACACATGACCCAAACATTTGTATAGTCATAGGACATGTTGTGCCTAAAAAATTGCACTGATGTCAGCACAAACCAATCAAAGTTCAGGAAGGCTTTGTGCAATCCAGGAGCTACCACATCGCCCTAAGACAGAAGAGATACGGCTGTCACCAACCCAGCAGATTCAAGGTTTGTCTATGAGTGGATGCGGACCACACACTTGTCCCAACTTTATCAAAATAAAAAGATAAGGATTAAGGAGTGGTTTCCACGCGTCATAACAACTTGTAAAAGCACTCGTTACATTGGCCTAAAAGGTTTATAAATGAGCAGCTCTCTTCACGAAAAAGGAGGTTGGGCATATGAGAGTTAGACATAGATTTGAGCTTCATTATTTCTCTCTGTAAAGCAAAGTATTTTTTTTATCTTTGTATACCTTACGGGCAATATCATAAAAATAGTTAGAGAATAATAAAATAATAGTGGTTGTATAATTTTCTTTAAGCATTCGAACCACTATAAAAACTTCTTTTGTCAGTCTATTATTTATGTTTCTGTAACATATATAATCTCGGTACCATATTTAAATCTCATTGATCGATCACGTGTAATTTCTAAGACTCTCTTAGCACTTTGCACGTACGAGTCGTAGGTATCCAAAATCAAGCATCAATAGGACACGTGTTGAGTTTTCATGCCTGTTGGATTTGCCATACAAAAATAATAAAATAGTAAAAAAAAAAAAAAAATTAGAGAGAGAGAGAGAGAGAATATTGTATTTTAAAAAAAGAGTAAACGACATGTACCCACCCAAGGTTTGACAAAATCGGAGTTGGTACGCCAAGTTCTATTTATTCCATATTTCCACCCCTAAAATAACATTGTTAACATTTTTTGGGGTAGTGAGGGTGTAATTACCATAATGCCCTTAACCCTAAATTAATAAATTATATTTTAGCCCCTAAATTACTAAAATTAAAAAATTAACCATCTTGTTTTGAAATTACTTCAATTACACCCTCAGTGACTGCGCACCGTCTCGATTTTCACCAGATCTGGGCTGTTTCCGTGACGACGAAACCCCTGGTCACTTCCATTAGCTTCCCCATCGTCTTCGTCCAAAACCCCTCTGATTCCCGACTCATTGACCTCTCCAATCGACGACACCGTCAGGTTAGGTTTTCGTCATTCTTCGCCATTCCTCGATTTCGCAATGAAAATCTAATTCGACGTCACCACTACAACCAGCATCTCCAATCTACAAAACCCCTATGTCCCAGCAACCGTTTAGTGGTCATTCGCCGGTGGAGATCGACGAAAACCAGTCGCATGTGGCGACTGTCGTTGGTGATCGGCAGTGATAAGGGTTGTCAGGGTACGGTTTTGTAGGGAGGATGAGGTTCGAATGGTGTGACAAAGGTGATTTTGGGTGGAAGAATCGCCAAAAGGTGAAAAACGTTGGCGGTGAGGTTGGCTAATTTGCGCGGGAACTTTATCAGGCTGTGTCTGCTATGTGCGCCTCCTCTGTGAAATGACCAATTACCCTTGAGCTATTATATCTCACATTTTCCGTTACTTTAAGGGTGAGATATAGAATAAATGGAACTTGGCGTACCAACTTGAGATTTCGTCAAACCTTAGGTGGGAGCATGTCGTTTACTCTTAAAAAAATTACCATGGATTTTGGGCTAAAACTTAATGAATAATTGTTTTACTAGATTTTGATAACTATGGGTGCGGAGGTCCACTTCCAATTAATTAAAGATAAGGGTGAAATAGACAGAAGGATGAGTATTAATAAATGACAGATGAATCTGGTTTTGTTTCAAATCAAATTTTCTACGACATAAAGGAATAAGTACCCACTTGGAAGCAATCTGAGAAACAAGTGTGTTTGTTGAGCACTGAAGGTGTAAGGAGAGTGGGAACATAAAAGAAAGACATGCCATGAAACGTGAAACACAATGCCATATGCTTTGTCATAAGTCATAACCATCCATCCTTGTACTTCTTTTTCTTAACTTAAAAAAGTTGAAAGGAACAAACAGCCTGTCTCTATATCCTTACGTTCTCCACATACACTACACATTTTCAAACAAGGAAACACTATATTTGGAAAAATAAATACTATAAAATAATCAAAACTTAACTAAACACAATCTACCTCTTTTTGGCCCATTCATATTCAACCTTTCTTACCTCTTCTCTCTTTGCTTCACCCACCAACACCCACCCACTCTATTTCTCTCTCTGTACCATTCAACATTTGTATCATTTCTTTTCTCTCTTTTCTTTCTTTCTTGACTATACCTAGCTACTTTATTGGCTTGTAATGGAGTCCATGTCAGTTAACAAATGTCTGGAAAGAGCTACCTAACTCCCCTTATGCTCAACTTGTCTGTGTAAGTACTTTCTCACATCTTTCTCCTGTTTCTTTATTTATTATTTCTTTATTTCTTCTTAGTACTCTTCTTATTTTTAGCTTCCACTCTTTTCGGAACTAACTCTGCTACTACATTTCTAAGTTGTTTGTAATTTAATAAGAAACAAAATGGAGAACTTTCTGATATAGAATTTCTTGCCTTTCTATTTTTTGTTTTTTTTTTTCATTCTCATTTAGTTAAGAAAAATTAATTATCTCTTCGCTTCCCAGCATGCCTATCGTTATATTTCTACCTTTGCCAATTTACACTAATTATTTGTGTAATTGTACTTACTGTTCTTGTATTTTACTATTTGCGGGTTTTAAGCAACCCTGCAAATATTCTTGTAGACTGAGTTGTACTGTAGTTTAGTTTGATTTGAATGAGTTTTCAATACAGTGCTTGCTTGTGCGAACTTTTTTTTTTTTTTGGTTTTTAAGCAGTACCTTTTTTTTTTTTTAAATGTAATTGTAAACTAAATTTTAATTTGTGTGGGCAGTTTAAACTGTGAAAAACAAGCTTATTTGACTGTGTTTGAGAAGGTTTTAAGGGAGTAAAAAGAGTAAATCTAACTGTAGAACTGAGAGATTTTATGGACTGGAACTTCAAAGCAACTTCTTGGGATTTTACTGAATTTGAGCAACAAGCTATTCCCAACGTAGACGCAGTTGGTGGGTCAAGTAGCTTTGGAGGAAACAGGAGTAAAGGGAAATTTTCAGTTGATTTGAAGCTTGGGCAGGTTGATTCGGGTGATAATTCATTGAGCAAGTGGAAGGAGCCTGTAGTCTCAAAAATGGAGTCTTCACCATCAGGGTCATCCAAGAGGGCCAGAGCAGCTACTAATGGAACTCAAACAGTGTCATGTCTTGTTGACGGATGCAGGTCAGACCTTAGCAATTGTAGAGACTACCATAGGCGCCACAAGGTGTGTGAGCTCCACTCAAAGACTCCACAAGTTATGATTTGTGGCCAGAAGCAACGCTTCTGTCAGCAATGCAGCAGGTATAAGTTTCTTGTATTACAAAATGTAGTAGTGCTTCAACTATTGCTATCATGATAGGTTCTTGACCATATGTTTTCATGTTTAGTGGCTTCTCCTTTCTCTTCATTATTGTATTTTTTGTAGAGGCAAGTAGGAATGGCCATAATCTTAGGCAATAAAATCTGATGGAAGCATCTTATGCTTTGTGTCTAATAGCTTGATAAAGAGTTGTGATGTTGTGCAATGAATGCAATTAGTTCTTCCTATATCATAGTAAAGTGAAATTTTTATTATGAATTTTGAATGTCACGCAGAAAGATTCTGGAATAACTGTCACCATGTCAGCTGAAAGTTCTGTAATTGGGCTATGATTACATATTTTTATTCATGCCAGAAATTGAATTTTAGAAATTTAGGGGCAGTTTGACATCTTGCAGTCTGAGTTTACTACTTGAACTCTTCATGGCCTTAGATTTGTCAATCGGCAAATGCTTATTTTGTAAGAAAAGGCACCAAAACTGAAAGATAAAAAGTAATGAAGTGGCAGACCAGAAGAAACAGAGGTGGTGGAAACTGTAGTTCTTCATTGTTGTTGAAGACAACACAATCAGGCTTTCATTGTTTCTTACATTATTCTTTTAATGTGAACTACAATTCGTTCCTAAAGTGTTGATTTACTTTCCCTGTGACAGTTAGTCCTTTGGTTTCAAAAGCACAAAATCTGTCTCTTTTGTAGCATGGTTCCTAGCTGTCCAAGAATTCCTCAGCAGTTCCAGTTCTTCTTTTCCCCCTTTTTTTCTTTTTCTTTTTGTAGATTTCATTCCTTGGAGGAATTTGATGAAGGAAAGAGAAGCTGCAGGAAACGTCTTGATGGCCACAACCGAAGACGACGGAAACCTCAGCCGGATCCCCTGTCACGGTCTGGGAGGTACTTGAGCAGTTACCAAGGTAAGCTGCAAAACTGTTTTGAGTGTGCACACGGACTCATTTTTGACAAACTTGAGAAGTATTGTTTCCTCTAAAGCTCTTGGCTAAGTGCTTCATCAATTTGCTTGGCTGATCATTACTAAATGGTGATCTGGTGGCCACTAAAGTAATTTTTGAGTGCACAAACACAAACACACACACACACACACCACGTTTCTCCCTTCCACTCCAGGATTCTTTTCTTTTAGAATAACATACATACATGGGATTAGTCTGTCATTTAAACTTGGATACTGCTCTATCAATCTCTATCCAAAGCAAATGCTCCTTGCTCCACTTCAAAACAAACCCCAATTGATAAGTGCAGCCTACAATTAAGGTTATACTGAAACTTTTCTTGATGTCACTGAACCAAACAGGTTCCACAAATTTATATGGATGCTTGGTCTTGAAATGTTTAATATGAAATAAAGAATAATGCTTTACTAGACCATAATACTAGTTTGTTCCGGATTTGTCAAATTTACGTTTTAGGTACGCAGTTGATGCCATTTCCTGGTCATATATACCCGTCCACAACTGTTGTGAACCCCCCATGGGCAGGAGTTGTGAATACTGAGGGAGATGCTAGGCACTATAACCAGCACCAACGTCTGCAATTGCACGACGAACAGAATCTATTTCTGGGATCCTCTCCAAGCGGCTACAAAGGAGGGAAGCAATTCACATTCTTGCAGCAAGGGGAGCAGACATCTCAGGAAGCATCTGTGTGCCAGCCTCTTCTCAGGAATACTACTGCCCTGTCAGAAAGAAGTGGGGGTAGCCATAACTTGTTCCGTGACAGGTTAACCACTCAAGTCTCGGATTGTGCTCTCTCTCTTCTGTCAGCACCACATACACAGACATCTGGGATTAGTTTGAGTCAAATGGTGCAACCTATGGAGCAATCCTTAGGCCCTAGCCTTCATAATCACAGTTTGGAGCCCATAGAATCAGTTCTGGTTTCTAGTGGTAGAAATGCCAATGTTGATTGCCCAGGAATGTTTCACATGGGGTCAGATGGGTCGTCAGCCGATGAAGCTCCTCAAACAATTCCCTTTCAATGGGAGTAGTAAATTACTAGTAGTTTGTTATCTTATAATAATTCTGGATTCACTTCCTTGAAAACTGTGCTGCAATACCTTTATCGCCAAAACTGGAATTTCGTATTGAAGTTTGTCTTTGTTTCTTTAGGCATAATGAACATGTTTTCAGTGTTGTTCGTTTAATTTCATTGTGATGTGCAAGAAAATTTATCTCAATTTATTTGTTTCAGGTCTGTTATATCCTTCCTATTTAGAAATTTATGGATTTGTTAAAATGTGGGCTGAATGCTGATGATATCAAGTCTAAATTTGAATTGGGTTCAGAATAGAGCTTGGACTGTATTTAATTGTTATTTTGAAATAAATAAAAGTTTAAAGGTGAGAGTGAGACAAAAGCAAGAGAAAGGAGGTCTCCATGATTATGCTATTAACAAATATCAAAAGTTAAGATTCTCAATTATTACATCTGATTTTTATTACAAATTGGGGATTTTTAATCTTTTCCGAATTTCATAGGCAAAATCTGATTTGCATTAAGGATGCCAGATTCATTTACTCTCATAACACGTTTTACATTACATTCTCATTATGTTTTTTACTTTGGTGTCCAGTTGGTAGTGTTAGGGTAAAATTCTTAGGCCGATAATCCAGAAGCCCGGAAAGTGAGCCCATTATTGACTCCAAGAAGCATGTCCGCTTAAAAATAAAAAGGGACCCATTGCCATAACGTGGCAGCAGCAACTCCTACTCCATAATCCATTTCTCGCCTAAATCCTAATGGCTCCACTCAGGAGTCAGGACCACCAATAACCAAGTGATAAGAGACGGATCTTTAACGTTTTTGACTTTTTTCTTTTAGAAAAGCCTTAAATAGTCTCCGCACTCCACCTTTCTTAAGAAGCATAGAATAGAAGAGACGAAACCTCGAAATCAAGTAAAAGTAGTTTGAGTTATATCGGATACCTTCTACAAATACAAAATTTCCCTCGAATTAATTTTACCAAAAGTTTAAACGGGAAAATCAAGATTGTAATTATTTATATGGCATGTTTCATAAACAGTTTAAATAATTTCTAATTTTTTTTTCATAAATTATGGTAATAGATTTATTGTGGGAAACTCATCAGAGATAGATGGAACTGGCTGTAAAGTTTTCAAAGAAATGCTTGAATGTTAACCAAAAGTTTTGTAACTGATCTACCACCGATAACGTACAGGTCAAGTGTAGAATTTGAATTAGAATATATTAAATATGGTGGTGATACATAATCAAGAAAACAACAAAGAATCTGCTGTTAGTAACAGAAAACACCAAGAGCCAATCAATTCAAAGAATCCACAACCAAGTTTCCAAATATTAAAAAAAGGGAAGAGAATCCACAACTCTTTAATGGCCTTAATGGCAGAATTAGACTCTTTCAGGAATCTGGAAAACTATAGTAACTCCACTATTCAAGTAAAAAACAAAACACTTTTATTTCATGCAAAACTTCTTTTGCTATATAACATCAAGGCCATGGTAGCAAATGATAAACACATTTTTGAAGAAGAAGATGGCCACTGGTTTTGCCCTGGCAAATGAAGATCTTCTTCAAAACATACTCTCCAGATTACCTGCCTTATCTTTTGCATCAGCTGCCTGTGTTAGCAAATCTTGGAACAAAGTTTGCAACCGAATTCTCTCTCGCCCAAAGCTCTCTTCCGCACTCTCCCTCTCCCCTTCTCATCATGTATGTCTCACGCTACATATATTAATTCTAGCTATTATTTCAGTGATGATTTTCTCCCTCAGAAGTTTCTTTCATATGGAAGGTCCATTTCAGTCAATTGCTGCCTGATGAGACTTTGATAGCCTTCATTGACTCCGATTTTTCCTTTGTTTTGATTGCCAAAATGTTTATGAACAAAGAAGCTAACGCTAACTCGATTTTCTGTTCATGATCAATAGGTTGCTGTAGAAGAGGTTCTCAACAAGGTTCTGTCTGAGCCTATTCGTCCACACTTCGCAATCGCCTGTGTTGGACTGCAGTTTAACTTGACAGCCACTCACCAACTTGTATCAACTCTTCTCTAATATTTACTAATTTAACTGCATTTTCCTGGGACTTCTTTTTTGTCTTTTATCTTCTAAGCTGTTCTTTGTCCTTATATAACTCGTCAGAAAATATTTTAAAGACAAAGATGTTTGGTTTGATCATATATACAGATTGCTGAGAAACTGGGCTCTAGAATCCCTATAATTACTAACGCTGCAACTGGTATTATTGGTAGGGATGCCGGTACAAATGAACTCAGAGAGGTTTGTGATATCCATAAAATTCCTTTTTTTTAAAGTAAATCTAATTAATTTTTTTATTAAAATGATGAAGCCTCTTCAAGTTATTTTTTTCCTTGAAAATGTCACTTAGGTGAAATGGGAAATACTTGAAGAGATTGGCCTTGACCAGGGAGAAAATAATTTCGTGACTGATCAACTTGATTATTGCGGAATCGTCTTGGTTATTGGATATGTACCTGGACTAAAAGTTGACGCCATCCCCCTTTTACGACCCAAAACGGTAAAAATTGCTTTCTTTTAAGGCTACATCACTCTGATTTCTTTTGCGGTTTGCATTTATGGAGTGAAGTTGACTTATTATAAGATTTCTAATTGGCATCTCAGGAACCTAGAGTCACCATGGTTGATACATTTCTGAAGGATATCAGGGATTACACAGCCTCTGTTTCAGATTGCACGTCCCCTGATGGGATCATATTATTTGGAGTAAGTTGTTGATCAAGTGGGTTTACTTGGTTCCAATTAAAAGGGAGGCCATCTTTTATTTATTTTTTTGATGATGCTCCAGGACCAACGGATCGACTTGAAACCCATCCTCGCGGAAATGGGTCAGTACCTTACACTATAATTTTGTTGTTGAAATGATTATTTTGATGCTCTGAGTATTGGTGTTATTGTGAGTTGAGATGTCGATGTTATATTAGAAAAGGGCTTGCACATGGCTGAACTTTCAGTTTTGTAACCTCTTGTATTTATTAGATTATGGCATGCATGAAGAAACAGTCATCGTGGGTGATGCAAGTGCCTGCTTCTTGTTTAAAAGTGGGGATGATTCTCGGATATACGATGGGAATTCCTACTTCTTCGATGCTGTTGCTCTTGTATTTGCAAGGGACAAGTCAGATGGTAATTGATCAATTAAAAACCAATTTTTTTTTTAACCATATATGGTTTTTGCCCCATCTCTTGCATTCTGTTCATATAATTCCTTATATGGTTTGTTTGAACAGCATTCAAAGGAGAAATTAAATTCCATCTTGCCTTGTCGATTGGTGTACTACCATTTGGTCCCAAACTCAAGGCTGTTTCTGTACGAATTCACAACTCAGATTGTTCCTGGTTGACTGCAAGAATGGAAGGATATCAAGAAATTCTAGATAGCGAGGGACTTCTAGAAGATATCAATGATCAGGTACATTTGAACGATTCAAATAAGGGTGTTATGATTGTCAGCAGTGTCTGTACTCTCCTATCACATGTCAAAGATCTTCTACTTCCTGAATTAACTTGTGCAGATTGATGATGAGTATCCATATTTGTACATTGGGGTCACACATCAAAGGGAACGCTCCATTGGCTTACAGAATTCAGGATCAAGATCACATCTAGCTTTATACGAAGTCTTAGGGTAAAATATTATTGAGCCATCCAACAGTCATTAATTTCATAGGGAACTTGCTAAATTTTGTGCCTTTTGCCTTTGGTTTTCAATAGAGGAAGCGAAGAGTACTTTGCTGTTGATGGTATTGGCATAAAACCTGGTGAATCCTTCATATTCTACCACTCAGATTCCGACACTGCATCATCTTCTAGTGGAAATGCATTCGAAGACATCAGCATCCTGAAGGCAGCTGATCACCATTGCACAAGCAGGGGTGTTAAGAAAGAAGTTTTGGGAGGTCTAATATTTTCTTGCTGTTCTCGAAGCGAGTCACTTTCTGCGCGTGGTAATGTTGAAAGCTTGCCATTGAGCAACAACTTTCCTGGCATCCCACTGGCAGGAGTGTTTTGTGCTGGAGAAATAGGACGTGGGGGTGGGTCCGCAAGTTTAATTAGGCAAGAAGAAAATGCTGCGGAAGTTTGCTCAATGTCAAGTCGATGCTTTTTGCATCATTACAGCACAGTTTATTTGGTTATGTCATACACTCCACCACTTGTTTAACTTTTGATAATCTTGTTTGACATGAACTTAAAGCAATTTTTCTCAAGTAGGAATAATCTTTTTTACATTGAATCACACTCATATTAAGTTGTGATTATCATTGCTTGGTAATTTTTTTTTTTTTTTGGGTAATTTATTACTTGGTAATATTAATAGTAAGCAATGATAAAAGCTATGGATGAATTATGATAATATTGACTTGAAACAAAGATAGAGAACTCACCAAAAAAATGAAAAATTTTGTGTTTTCGAAACTCAAATTTTGGCAGCATTTGGCTCAAACACCTAGTTACCAAAAAAATAAAATAAAAAATCAACAACTTAATTCAATTCTACGTCCAAACAAGATAATAAGCAAATAGTTCTAGAGGGTATTATAGTCTTTTCGTTCTTAAATTGCATCAACATACAACAACGTTAAATCTATGCTTGGCTAATTCTCTTAGATCATCTCCAACCACAAACACCAATTTGGTGTAACTTTCATACCAAATTAGTATGACATTTATACTATTTTATTATTGTATCTTCAATTCATTACACTAAATATTATACTAAAAAAAATAATATTTAGAATATTTTTTTCTATTAATTCTCAACAATTAATTTATTTCATTAATTATTTTTTTATATATTAATTAACTATTAGAAATAATATTTTTATTAATTAAAATAGCTTAAAAAATTATAATAATTTAATAAAATTAAGCATTTATTAAATTAAATAAGCATTACATTTAATATTAAAAAAAACATTACATCTAATATAAAATGCCACTTAAAAAAAAAAAAACCCAACAAGGTCAAGGATCTCAAAATAGGAAAAATGATGAAGAAGTTTCAAACCAAATTGAAACTATTAAAGAAAAAAATCGATAGCTCGCTGAAATTTTCAATCGGGGCAACTTAGATAGGGCACAAAATTACGAAATCCAAATGAAAAAATTGGCTTTGGAAGAATATCAAGAAGATAACAAAATTTTATTCAAATATTTGAATTTCATAATTGATTCAAGTCTGCGTGAGTTTTTTCAAAATGAGCAATCAAGAATTATGCAAAAAAGAGTTTACAACAAGGTCAGTCATCTTAAAATAGCTCTGTTTCTTTCCAATATTTTGATGATGAGGATCTAGAATTAATATATTAAAATACTAAATTATTATTTTAATTTATGTTATATTTTTTTTAATTTTAGTGTTTTTAAATTAGTGTTAATTTATTTTGAGTTATTAAAATTTAATATCTACGTTGAATGAAGTATTGTTTTTAATTTTCGTCATTTTTTAATTCTATAATTATTATGATTTAGTATTATAAATAATAATCAAATAAACATAAATACAAATTATAAAAAAATTAAATAACAAAAAAAAGAAAAAAATATTTTGTGGTGGATGAATAGTATCATACCAAATTGGTGTGGATGAACAATATTACATGAAATTTTGTATGATATTATTCATCTACACCGGTTTGGCTTTTGGTGTATGGTTGGAGCAAAATTTGGACACCAAACACCAAAATGGTGTCCATAGGAGATGCCCTTAAATAAACCAAATACGTCGTCGTATGTTTAGTACCCAGCCACACATGATTTATGAATTGATATATAATCTAAATCTCATCCCCTCCGCTGTAGAGTGACATTTATTTCTAAATTCATTTAACATCAATGGATACCAGGCAACCATCTTCGTCGAATAACAACTACAAAACTGAAAGTGAGCTCGTTCTGAAGAACGAAGGTCTTCTCTATAGCATATTGTGTAAACTTCCCGCCTGGTCCTTTGCTTCATCAGCATGCGTTTGCAAAACTTGGCACAAAGTCTGCAATCAAATCCTCGCTTGCCCTAAAATAGCCTCCGCTTTTTCCCTCAACACTACTCCTCGGGTAGATCCTACTTCTTTCCTACAATTTTCAGTTACTTTTATTGGTAATTCAGACGACAATCTATTCAATTCTTTGAACAATGCATAACCTAACGCCTGTGTTTTAGTGTTTGGAGAAGTTGGTAAATTTGACTAATTTTAAAGCTGAATCTTGAATTTTTATGTTATTATTGATAGATTTCTGTAAAAGAGGTTGTTGATAAGGTGCTATCAGCGCCCATTCGACCGCATTTTGCCATTGCAAACGTTGGCAGAGGATTTGACTTTGATCAGACTATCCAATGGGTATTAATTTTCTCTGATTTTCAATATGATGTTTTATTTCTCACTTTTACATGTTTTTATTCTTTTTAATGTAAATATAAATGCAGTTAGCTGGAAGTTTGGGATCCCAAACTCGAATTATTGTATCACGTGCTCATGGAATAATGGGCAGACATGCTATTACTGATCAGTTTCGAGAGGTTTGAATTGTCTCCCCCTGGCACTTTTTTTTTTTTTTTTCAACTCTTTAAAATAGAGATGTACTTGATAATTTCCTTTTATCAATTAACAAAATGCAGGTGAAATTTGTGGATATTGATGATTATCCTTGTATACAAGAAGGAAGTTCAGGCATTGTATTGACAGTAGGCTTTGTTCCAGGACTAAAAGTTGATGCTATTCCGCTATTACAACAGAAGAGGGTAACAAATTCTGAGATTAGAGTTGAAACTGTTGAATGATGGTTTTTCTTTAATATAGATCACATCATGGATGATGATGTTGCTTTTCATAAAAATATTTCATCTCTAATGCCTATATAGAATAGTGTGGTAGGAACCATTTGAAAGAAATTAGAGTAATATAAATATTGATTTGCTACAATATAGGCAACTAATTACTAATTTACCATATCATTCTAGACAAGATATGAGGGGTGTAAATTTATGATATTATACTTGGCATTGACCATTTACTTCTTTAACTGGGCTTCTAGAGTGTTGTAGGGTTATGTAGTTTAAATTTTTAAAGAAATCTTACGTGAAGAAATTCTTGGTTGACATCAGGCATCTCAAGTGGCTATGATTGATCAATTTGTGATGGATATTAGGAATTACACAATCTCTGTCTCAGACTGTGCATCTCCAGTCGGGATTATAATGTTTGGAGTAAGTGATATTTGGCTTGTCAGCCCCCCCTTTTTTTTTTTTTTTAATACTTTTCCTGATGAGAGTAAAGTTCAATTTTTTTGTTTCCACCTGTAACATGTGGACATTGGTGATGCTGCAGGATGAAGATGCTGACCTGAAACTTGTCATTGAAAAGTTGGGTTAGTGCTATTGAATTTAAAAGAATTTTACATTTTTATCCTTTTATTTAATCATGTATATGAGGCAAGGGTAATTTGGTGGTTGTGGCTGGATTATGGTCTGAGACTGAAACTTTAATTTTTCATTGCACATTGATATCAAAGCTTCATATTGTGCAAATTTTAAGAAGGTTATCTTCATTCACACTCCTTATCTTTACTGATGCTTAACCACCAGTAATTTGAGAAGTTTTACAAACTAACAGACTGTCATAATTTCAATTTCTATTTTGATTTATTACTTTTTATCCTGGGAAATTGACTAAAATGTCAATATTCTTTTTATTCTAATGCAGCTCTGTAGCATTTAAGTTGTGACAAATTTTGAAAGTGGTGGTGGTTTAGTGTTTTTGCCAAAAGATGAGGGGTCTGAATAAAAAACCATTTTTAACTTGATTTGTTTTTCCTTGCAAGTGTGCAAAGTATGAGTCTGTATAAGGATCTAAACATGGAATGTTACACCTGTCTAAAGTGGGTTTTGGGTTTATTTTATTTTGCTTTTGACAGTTTTTGTAGGTAGATGACCGCTTGCTTGAGCTCCATATACTTGAAGGGCCAGATTTTTACTTTATCTTGTTAATCTTAATAAGTTATTATATGGCAAGTTTTTTCATATTTGTTTGTAGTTGATGGCATCCTGTACATTGCAGATTATGCCTTGTCTATGGAAACTGTCATTGTGGGTGATCAGAGATGCCAGTTCTTTTATAGAAGTGGGAATCAATTAAGAAATGTTTGTGAAAGCATAGTATACGATGCTGTTGCTCTTGTATTTGCAAGTGATAAAGACAAACTCCATGGTACATGTTCATTTGTTTATGATTTTGTACTTTATTCTCTTATGCCTTTTAACTAAATGATAAATTGATAGACTTCCTATAACTAAGATTTACAAGAAGAAGAAGGGAAGGGGCAGTAAGGGTAATTGAGAAGGGAGGTAGTTAGGGTGGAATCTTAGTTATAGGAAGTCTATCACAATTAAAATTGTTACTGTGCATGATGGTTCCTTGAAAATGTGCGTTATCCTAGAATTAGAAGTAATAATAGTTGTTATCACTCCTTGAGAATTTACAACCTCAACCTTGCGTCAACTTAAATCGTTAAATGTTTCACTTATGCAATTGCAGATATGCCAGGGCATGCTTATAATATAGGGATGTTTGGGTTCCAATGGAAAATTGCTTCCGAATTCCAAAATCATGTCTTGTGGGAAATTTCTCAAGTTACTTTTTGACCTTTTTCATAGGAGTTCTTTTACCCTATAGAAGTTGTTTATTTTTAGTTAAATTATTGTTCATATTAGTGAGTCATCACTGAGATGGATTCTGGACGCAGCCTCTGGTTTGAGGCCAGCGAGCCTTTACAGTATGGCCATTGTAAATTCTTGCAATGTGGGATTATTCTACACAAATATTTGTGACTTTTGCCTTTCAGTCTTTTGTGGCACCATCCATATTCTAAACAAGACTTGTTGTTTCATGTGTCTCATTTTGCAGTGCTTTATCCAGCTCTTCACTTTTAAACTTTTTTTTTTTTTTTACAGTGTCATCATAGCTTTATCACATATCTATATTGGTTTTGTTAAATGAGCAGATACAGGGAAAATTCAGTTCCATCTTGCATTGTCGAAAGGTGTTGCAGCAATAGGTCCAAGGCATAAGGCAGTTTCTGTTAGAGCAAATAACCGTGATCCCATCACATGGCTCACTGCCAGAAGGGAAGGAAATCAACAGAACCTTGATGGTCAACAAATCTTAGATCATATACATGATGAGGTATGATCCTAATCTGAAATGGGAAATTTGTGGTTTATGTTGATTTCTTGGAGATTTCTTTCCTATATCTTTTAGAAAAGAAATTGAGTGTGATTTACCAGGATTATTTTAAAAGGTTAGTGTATTTAATAGTTAGTTTATATTTCAGGTTTGAGTTATCCCTTGAAGATATTCTGGTAATAATTGGCTGCTTTGCAAGACTACTTTTCTAATAAACTTTTTAGGAGTGTGTACTCAAAAGCTTCACGAAAAATGGCCTGTTGTCTCGAAATTTCTTGTCAAAAGTTGTTTTGCTAATAATTACTACTTCCTGTTATTTTGAACTAAAAAAATAAACAGAGATGACATCAGTTTGGAAAATGTCTGTTGTATCCATCTTTAAAGTTTTCGTAGATCTCAGATATTATTTTTTTAAAGTTCAGAGCCTAGGGTATTAGATCTTTGGAGTGGGCTTACACTTGGCAAGTCTAGTGAACTTTTCAGTATATATGTTCTCTTTCTAGTAGTTATAAATTATAACTTATAAGTTTAATTGGAGAGTATTTGAAACAGCTAAAACAAGTCCTTTATTATTGGGAAAATGGAAAAGGAGACTGAATTCATTCTTCAACGTAAATTGTTACTCTTACTATCATGATTGTGATTATTATTATTATATTTATGTTGTCTTTAAGCCTTTTTTGTGTCACTTTTCTGTTTTGAATATAAAATGAAGGCATATGAATTTTCCTTTCATAATACATGTCATTGTGTGTATAGGAGTGGGGTCAGTTGTTGTACTGTTTATTAAACTGTTACTCTTTCTGAATTGAAACTGTGACAGATGGGAAATGATGTTCAATGTCCTGAACTGTACATCGGAGTTACAAAACGAAGAAAGTGCTCCATCGGGTCAGAAAAGCCAGGGCTGATTACTTCCTTGGCATTCTATGCCGTTGTTGAGTAGGATATTATGTTTACTCTAATCTCTTTTTGGCTTAATTTATCTTCAAATGTTTTTGATGTAATTGAAATTAAAACATTTTCGTGTTAAATTGTTTTTTGTTATATCATGCATTGCATTTTTCTGATCAACTGTCTGATTTGATAAGCATATTCAGCCAATTTATCATAACTGTTGACTGCCTATATGTGCAAATGAATTTGAGAGTACCATATGAACTAAGATTTTTGTCGTTTATGAATTAAATTTGATGGATTGTAGTATTAAAGTCGATGTTTATTTTATTTAGCCTTGTGTTCCTGATTGCTAAATCAATTTTGTGAACGCTTTATATCTAATTAGATAGACATCAACATTTGTCTTTTCTTGTGATTGGTTTAGGACTGTAAAAAATAACCAGTATTTTATAGTAATCCTTTTGCCCATAAAACTCACCACAGAAGTCTTTGTTTTTCAGAGGAGACGAGCAGTACCTTTATGTTGATGGTCTTGGTATCAAAAGTGGTGACTATTTCCAGTTTTACTATCCAGATACAGCTACTGCATTAGCTTCATGTCGTAATATCAACACAAAGTTCAGAAATCTAAAGGCAGAGTACGATTCCAGAAGTTGCCTCCACAAAAGGGGTATTGCTGATAGTGTTGGTAAGGAAGTACTAGGAGGTTTTATTTTCTCCTGCTGTGGCCGCGGAGATCCATTCTTTGGATGCTGTAATGTTGATAGTTACCCATTTATGGAGAACTTTCCTGCAGCTCCATTGGCAGGAATATTTTGTGGTGGGGAAATCGGACGTGGATCTTCCAATTTAATGGGGCAAGAAAGTCAAGAAGGAAGCTCTCCTCGTTCCAGTCTGCATTTTTATGGCACGGTTTTCTTGTTGATGTCATATACACCAGCTTGTCCAGAGCATTAGGCCTTGCTTACAGCTTTCATGTCAAGATGGGCGTACTTAGTTGAAAATGACTAAACTCTCGCTAGGTTTTTTTTTTTTTTTGTTTTCTGTTTCCAGTTCTCTACATGAAAGAAGTTAGGGGCTGGGCTGAATGGGAGTGAAATGAATGTATCTAGATGAAGGACTCTTCCGTAAAGTCTGAATTGCGTAAAATATTGGATTTGCGTCGAACATTTCTTGTAGGACACTTAGATTGTGCATAAATTATAGAAAGGGAAGAAACCTTACATAATTATTTATTCTATTGATGGTTTGGAGTGAATTGTCATGACTATCACTCATGATAGTTTGGATTTATGTAATTGATGAGATAAAAATGTTGTTTGTTAACTTAGTCTTAGAGGGTGCATGTTGTTGTTCCGCGAAAGAATACCATTTTCGTCCCTGAGGTTTGGACGGAGAAACCCTTGGGTCTAGTTAAATATTTTAGTAGTATTAGAGTCCTTTTCAATTGTCAGAGTGCTGTGTTAACTGAAAAGTTATATTTTGCAAATATAATTACAAATTTACTTTTATTTATCTTATTAGAATAAATAAATAAAAATGTAATTATCGGATTTGGTGGTTTTACTTTGTTAAATCCAAACTTCCACACCAAGTCACTAACCCGTCCCCATCCGATAGTAGTCTCGTAGAGCCCACTCCAAGTCTCCAACCAGTCAGGTAACCAGCAAGAAATTTCAGAGGGCAAACATCGATAGCCCGGGGATCCATCATTGTCGAACCCAACCCTTTCTTCTCATTTTCTCCATCTCCCATTTGACACCGACACTACGGCCATCTCTCTCCACTTCCTCTCTTCTTACCCTTATTCCTGAACCAAATCTATACTACAAAATCACCCCACAAATAATAGTTTAACAAAGCAATAAATCCAAATCTCAGCAAAAGGGGGTCGGCTGCATTGTGGGTGCGATGGGTTTGGTTGCGGTGGTGGTGTAATGGGGCTGGGGATGAGATGGAGGTGGCGTTGCCAGGGGTCGGGGGTTTAGACCGTTGGTCTTTATTTTTATTTTTATTTTTAACCAATATTTATTATTTTCTTAATTTTGTTTTATATTTCAAAATAGCTTACAGTTTTATGAGATTTGTTGTACCCCTATTTAATAGGATCAAATGGCAGCACTCTAATAGGACCTTTTACTGTTACTAAAGAATCCTACCGGACCCACGGGGCTAAGACCAAACCCCAGGAATGAAATTTTTTTCCCTGATTTTATATGGTTCTACCACTTCGAATCAATATACAAAGCTGTCATTTAAATACAAATAAGACACATAAGGCAGCGAAAAAGTTCAATGCAACTTTTTAAATTTCTCAGTTTTTTTTTTTAAAAAAAATTAAAAAAAAAAAATAAGAAAAAAAAATACAAAAAAAAAACAAAAAAAAAAGATTAAAAATAAAAAAAGAAAAAAAAAAAAAAAAAAATAAAAAAAGAAACAATTTGTAGGAAAATTTGCGGGAATTCCAATTTTTGAGCCGAAACAACATGATGAAGCAAACTAATAGTACTGTTTACATCTCTCCATATTTCTGGAGCTAGTTAGACATCATAATGAATAAGCATATATAAGAATTTATTACAACATATATTTTCGCATACAGCATAGCCGCATAGACGATGTTAGAATTCTAGAGAGAAAGACAAAGAATGAAATTGTATTTCAAGTATATATTTTCCAATGTACAAGAGCTGTATTTATACTTACAATACATGCTAGAATCATGCTAATGATTTATGCTTATGGCTAAAATCAAGCTATGCTTTATTCAAGCCATGGATTAAGCTTTGCTTGATTGTGGCTAACACCTCCCCTCAAGCTCAAGGTGATAACATAGATTACAACTTGAGATTGGAAACTAACTCCGTGAATCGTCCTGGGTGATGAGCTTTTGTGAAGACATCGACAAATTGATCAATAGAGCGGACAAATAACAAGTCAACAGTGTCGTGTGTGATGTGGTGGCGAATGAAGTGACAATCAATCTCAATGTGTTTAGTGCGTTCATGGAAGATGTCATTATGAGCGATCTGTATGGCACTTTGATTGTCACAATGAATAGGAATGGCAAAGGAATGAGCAACACCCATATCTTTTAGGAGCCACCGGAGCCAAAGTAGTTCGGCAGTGGTATCCGCTAAGGCATAATATTTGGCTTTTGTGCTAGATTGAGCTATTACTGATTGTTTCTTACTTCGACAAGAGATGAGTGAGTCACCAAGGAAGAAACAATGCCTAGTGTTGGAATGTCAATCAATAGGATCCCCTGCCCAATCAGCATCATAATAAACACACAATTGTAGTGAAGAGTGAGCAGAAAAGAAGAGACCGATAAAGAGAGTACCTTTGATGTATCACAAAATTCGCAGGACAACAGTATAATGGGTGGAGTGTGGAGTAGACATGAATTGGCTAACAATATGAATAACATAAGCGATGTCAGGCCAAGTGACAATGAGATAAACCAAACTGCCCATTCACTGTTAGTATAGGGTTGGATCTGAAAGGGGTGTGCCATCCATGGGAGTAACATGAGCATTTGTTTCCAGTGGAGTAGAGGCAACCTTCACTTCAGTAATTCCAGCACGAAAGAGCGAGTCAGATGCATACTTTGCTTGGGAAAGAAAATAACCATCAAGAGTGGAAGAGACTTTGAGTCCCAAAAAGTAAGTAAGGGAACCAAAATCTTTCATCTCAAAGTGTTGGCTAAAGGAGCTTTTAAGCTTAGTGATGCTTGAGAGATCGTTGCTAGTGATAATCATATCATCCACATAGAGCAAAAGAAGAATAAGGCCTTGGTCAAGCTTGCGAATAAATAAGACAGAATCATAAGGACTTGAAGAAAATCTGAAAGAGTTTATAGTTGCACTAAACTTTGCATACCAGGTCTGAGGCGATTGTTTGAGCCCATATAAGGCCCGATGCAATCTATACACTTTGTTAGGCGGATGATCATAACCAGGTGGTGGTTGCATATAGAATTTTTCCTTAAGCTCACCATTGAGAAAAACATTTTTGACATCCATTTGAAATAAATACGATTTCGAACTGCAGCAATTGCCAATAAACTTCGAACTAAAGTGAGACGTGCAACAAGAGAAAATGTCTCTTCATGATCGATTCCATCCTCTTGAGTAAAACCACTGGCCACTAGACATGCTTCATAACGTTCCATAGACCCATCTGAAAGAGTTTTGATCTTGTAGACCCATTTGTAATGCACAAGTGTTTTATTTGGCGAAAGATCTACCAACTCCCTTGTCCTCATCTTTTCTAGAGCTTTGATCTCTTCATCCAGTGCTTGCTACAAAAGAGGGTTAGAGTAAGCCTCACAATAAGTGTAAGGCTCATGCAAGGAGAATATAGCTGAGAAACAATGAAAATTAATAAGACAAGAAGAAGGTTCTCTTACACAAGTAGAGCGACGAAGAGCTAGATTATGTGACTCATCTAGGAGATAAGAGTGTGCCATAGGTGTCGAATCCTCAGAATAAGCAAAATCATCTGGATCAGGCGTAGGAGGAATGACATGGTCAAGCTTAGAAGATGTACTTGCATTAGATGGAAATAATTTTGCAAAAGAGTAAGTAATAGGGGAAGAAGATGAGCTACGAAATTTTGACAAAGAAGAGAAAATTATATGTTCCTAGAATACTACATGACAGGAGACATGTAAGCATTGGGAGATGGGATCCTAACATTGATACCCTTTATGTTCTATACCATATCCCAAGAAACAACACAAATAGGCCTATGGTTCAAGTTTGGACTGCTCATGGGACTGTTAAAGAACGAAACAAGCAGACCCAAAGATTTTTAAAAGACCGTAGTTGGAAGAGCAGCCAAGAAGACGCTTATAAGGAGTTTGATTATCTATAATAGGAGAAGGCATGCGATTGATGACAAAGACGGTGGTGAGGGCGACCTTTCTCCAAAATGATTCTGGACAAGAAGATGATAGAAGCATGGCCCGAACGGAATCCAAGATATGCCGATGTTTGCATTCGACACGACCATTCTGTTGTGAGGTTCCAAGACAAGATCACTAAATGGTGGTTCCATTGGCAAGAAGAAATTCATCTAGGGTAGAATCACAATACTTTATGACATTATCAGTACGAAACATTTTTATTTTCTTAGAATTTTGTGTAAGTACCATGGTCACAAAGTTTTTATATGTTTGAGAGATTTCAAACCTGTTTTTCAAGAGATAATCCAAGTAAAACGAGAAAAAATCATCTATAAAAATGACAAAGTACTGTGAACCTCCCATAGTACGAGTTGGTGCGGGACCCTAAACATCAGTGTGAATTAAATCAAATGGAGCATAAGAAACTAAGTCACTAATATTAAAAGGCAAAGCAAGTTGTTTAGACAAAGAATATGATACACAATCAAGTGTTTCAAGTTTATTAGAACCAAGGCAACCACTGGAAACAAGTGAACGTACTTTAGTCAGAGAAACATGACCTAAATGAATATGCCATAAGTGAGAAATGGATAAGGTAGACGCAACTGACTAGGAAGGAGATACTTTAAAAGGTGAAAAGTGAAGGGAGGTGAGCTTGAACAATCGTCCCATCTTACGCCCTGTCCCAACAATCTGACCCATTTGAGAATCTTGCACACAACAACCATGAGAAGAAAAGGTAATATCAAGACCGAGTTCACATAGTTGACCTACAAATACAAGATTATATGTGAGTTTTGGAATGAGAAAAGTATCGAGTAGAGACATAGTTGGAGTAGAGACGATTCCTATATGACTAACATGCATATGAATGACAGGTGTATTTGAATTAAGAGATGTATCATATATGATAGATGAATCAGGAATCATATGATTACAATAAGCAGAATCAATAAGCCACGAAATAGTACCTGAAATGGTGGGCAAGGCAATGTGAGAACTAAAAGAATGAGACAAAACTTGTTTAAGGAGAGACTCTATATCATGAAGGGTAGGCTGGGATGGAGCTGGGGATGTCTTAGTGGTAGCGGTATCAACGTGTGAAGAAGATCTAAATTTTCCAAGCTGGGGACAACATGACTTGGTATGACCTTTCTTTTTGCAGTAATTGCACTAAATGCTTGGACAATAAAGAATGAGATGTTCATTTTGGTGACGGTATTTGCAAACAAGTGAATTAGTCTGCTTGGTCAGACAAGTATGAGACTGCTTGTCAGGAATAATGGCAAGGACTGTATCTGATTTTTTTTATACCCTAGGTGTGAACCGAGTCTCATCAAACTGAAGTTCAGAGAGAGCTGTGTCCAAAGTTGGCAAAGGCATACGGTGGAGGAGCATGGATCGAGTAGACTCAGACTTTGGGGTAAGAGCCATAAAAAATTGGATCAAACACATATAATCACGATGCTTTTCATATTAAGTGGCATCTATAGTGCATGTCCAACTAGGATTAGATTGAGCTAGCTAATCCCACATAATTTGCATCTA